GATTCTCTCCAAGGTAAGAATATTTAATCAAACCGCGATTACTACTTCGTCTTCGCTTTGTATTTTTAGTTAATTTGTCACTTATGTAAAACTCGCGTCATCAAATATTTCACTTTGAAGCATTACGTTATAGCCCCCCTAAACGATCAATAATAATTGTACAATATTGTATATGAAATACACGAATAATCTAAACTTCAATGTAAAATCAAAATTATCAATAATATTATGCAATATAAAATATTATACAATAACATTGACCGTGTAGGGGGCGCTAGTCTTATGACGCGTCCCTGCCTGCCCATTGTATCGGACTCGTAAGTAGCGAACTATTTTCCGTTATAACTCAAAAACTAAGCTTCGGACAAAATTTTGCAAAAGGAAAAATCGTCTTAGAATTCGTTCAAGAATATGACATTTCAAGGACATCAGGTTATTTCAAATCACCCTGTATATATACATATAAATATTTTTCATATTAAAATATAATAACGAATAATAACAAAGGTATTTCGCGTGTGGATAGATCTATTTTCCTATTTCATATTTTTTAATAAGAAAATAATCTAATTTACAACATATATAGACATTTAAACGCAAAAGCCATACGAGGAAAAGTGGCACTACTGCACATGCTTTAGAAATATGTCAACAAAATCTGGAAAAGTTGACGAATGACATACAGAAAGAACACAAAATAAAAGAAGAATTGTTAGAAGAATATAAAAAAATGAGAATGTTACACGAAGAGTCGATGTTCAAAGTCGAAGAGCAATTGAAAGTTGCAAATACATTACGAGAGGAAAGAAATCAACTATTGCAAGAATTTCTACAAATACAAAAAAAATGAAGCAGAAAAAAATAATTAAAGCAACACATGTAAAAAAACATATATTATAAAACAATTTTTTATTTAAAAAACTATATAATCAAAGATATGTGATATTAAGTTTAAAGTTTATGTGATATTAAACTTTAAGTTTTAAGTTTATATAAAGCATAAATTTTTATTTATTTTGTTCAAAGGAGATATATATTCTTATTTTACACACATGTGTTCATATACCTTTTGTTTAGTTTATTTTATATTTAAGGAATACATGGGTAATATAATATAATACTAATAATATGTAATATGTTTAATAAAAAATGTTTATAATAATTATTTCTAAATATTTGTCCTTAAAAGTATATCCGATATCTTATATCCTATAAAGTAATAACTTATTAACTAACTTTTCAGAAATTATTTACAATAACAAAAATCTTATAATGCATTTTTTATTTTAAATTAACTTTTTATACAGTTTTATATAGTTATTCAGTTATTTGACGACATAATTCATCCCGTTTATGTACGCCTGTTTCATGTTCTCTTGGTGCTTCATCTCCTAAGCATTGCCTTATGTTTTGTACGTCTAAATCTACTTGTTCGTCATCTATAGGTGGCTCATAAAAATATTCCAAATCTTGTATGTTGGCTATATTGTGCAACACACAACATGCATGAATAACACGTACCATTCTTTGGATGTCTCTTAATTTCAAATAGTATAGTTGTCGAAATCGCTGTTTTAAGCATCCAAATGCGTTTTCAATAACCACTCTGCATGAACTAAGTTTTTGATTAAATATTCTTTGCCTTTGTGTTAAACGTCCATTGTCTTTATATGGCACAATTAACTGTGGTAGGCAAGGGTATGCACTATCTCCTAACAAGAAGTTATCTGGAAAAATATTAATCACACATTTAAATATTGATTCAGCCTGAATCCTTATGCAGATAACGGCGCTTTATAAAAACGCTGGTGTCTGTATTAGGATACAACCTTATGTTTACAGTTTTTATCATCATTTTCCGTTTTTTCTACTTACTTCCACAAAGTTGACATAAATCATTATATATGGTAGAATTTCTCAAAACTCTCGCATCGTGAACCGAACCTGGGAATCCAATAAAGATATCTATAAATTTCAAATTGTGATTGACTGTTCCTTGGATGTGTATAGAAAAATATTACTTCCTATTTATATAAGAATCACAATTTTCCATCGGTTTATCTATTCTTATATGCGAACCATCTATAGCACCTAAAAAATAGTAACATATATAAATAAAAAGTAAAACATTTTAAATAAAACATGAATAGAAATGAAAATGCATTACCTATTACACCAGGAAATTCTTTATGCTGAAGAAAGTAATTCATGGTTTCTTCTTTTTCTGCTTGTGTAGGGTATCTTATAATATTAGGTGCCAAGGTCATAATAAATTCTGTTACTCTTGTAATAATATGATACAAAGTACTTAGTGCGATACCAAATCGATCAGCTACATCCCGATATGATCCAGCTTCGTGTCCCACAAACCATAAGTAACACAAAATGTGTTTCTCAGCTGTTATTTTTTCATCTTCTACACGAGCTGAAAAAGTTACATGTAATAAAGCTGTCTACGTATATATTAAAAATTCATAACAGACTATAAATTATATTTTCTTTTTTCAATTAATATTTTCCTAGTCTTAATTAACATATTAATTATTACTATTAACTTTTAAAAATATGTACTTACTTTGTATAGAAGTAAATATCTCTGATTCTCTAAATCTATTAATTAATTCGTATGCTACTTGTCTTGATAGTCGAAAATGCATTATAAAATCTCTGTTATCGTAATTAGTAACAATATTTTCGATATAATTTTGTACTTTTACGTGCTGTATTTTTCTCATTAATCCAAACAACGGATGTAATAATTGTAATTCATTATGTTCTAAAAAGTTATTTAATAAATAAATAGGTTATGTTGTACGTATATTACAATATTATTAATAATACTAAGTCTGAATATAATAATATTTCTTACCATCATTATCTTTAATTAATGGCGCTTGTAATGGTGGAATTGCTATTAATAAATCATCTTCATCAGATGAATCTAACAATTCCATAGGTACCACGTAATGCGCCATAATGCTTTTGCACTGTAGCGTTCTTTATTCCTGCTTGTACTCTCAGTCCTCGCTCGCACTACTCGGTTCAGTTCACTGCACTAGTTCAACTCAGTGCAGGAATAAAAAACAAACCTTCGATTAAAAACGCTTGGCTTAGCATTTTTCGTACGTAGCATTTTTCGCGGGCTGGGGAAGTGACAAAATATAGCATGCTACGCTGACGCGTGCGCACACGGACGCGTGACGTGTGGTTCTC